GGGCATAGAGAGAACATTATAAATTGTTCAATTTTAGAAAAAAATGATTCCTGAATCTCTTCGGGTTCACCCAAGGATGCCAGAGTTTCGAGAGAATCTATTTTTTCGAAGATACTAAAAATTTTCTCCAAAATGTAGTTTTTGATTTTCCTTTAAAGCGCCAGACAATGCATGCAAACTGGGAATGCAGGGAACCTAATTTATTGTAGATGGTCTGCAATGGAAACTCGCGGATGTTAAAATCTATTTCTACAAAAGCTGAATTACTTGCCACGGGAGGAAATCGCCTTATAGCTAATACTAAAACATCCGTGTCAGGAGAAAAAATTCTAATTTTACTTGCCCCCTTACTAGATGCTTGTACTGTATGAAATAACGTTTTTGTATCTGCCTTTTCATGACTGCTTTCTAGAAATGACATATCCTGATTTATGTTGTTAGTAATAATATTTGATCTATAAGAACAAATTACTGTGACTGCTGGAATGGAAGTTTTTTCCATTAGTTTTTTGGAGAGATATTCGGTTAGCTTATCTTTTGTAGTTGTATGCGATAACAATTTTCATATTAAGGTTTTTTATATTAGTTTTGTCATGGACATTATATTTTACTGGATCTATCCCCTTTTGTCTTCTGGTTCGTTCTACAGACATTTCATTGTAGGAATCAAAGACTACATGAATTTCATTAAACATTTTATACTTCGAAAAAATTTCAATTACAAATGCGTCTGCAAAATCCGAAAGAAATTTCATGTTGTTTAAGGACATCATTTGAACTTCTGCCATATCGTCTAACATTTGGGTAAGCGTGAAAAGTGTCTATATTTGACCTCAAATTTAATACATATGCCCTCATCCAGGGTTTATTATTAAAAATTGACCCCATATTTGAATTTGCTGGCCTAAAGTTATACGAAAACGACACCAATATCAATGTTTTACGTCAAGAAAAACTTTTTATATCCTACTGTATTATTATAACCATATAATACCTTGGTTACGATAGTCATAAACAGGGTCTTAACTTCCAAGGGGGTTAAGGATTTCATAACTCCCATGCGGGAGTTAAGGATATCATAACTCCCAAGGGAGCTAATGATATCATAACTCCCAAGGGAGTTAAGGATTTCCATAACTCCCGCTTTTACCTTGAATAGGTAGAACTTCCAGAAAAATTTTGGTTTATGGTTTATCTATATATATAAAAATCAAAGTTCGCGGGGTATCCAGATATGCGCTCCAAAACCACTTATCCGATTACGATGAAACTTTGGTAGGTTGTTATGGCCATCCCAAGGAAGGTTTGTGGATAGGTTACGCATCTCGGAGAAAGAAATTAATTTTGAATTAATTATTAATTTAATTGTAAGCAAACTCATTCACATTACGTAACAACATAACCCAACTTTTTTTGACAGCATGAAACAGCGTTGCCATATTTCATTTATTTAGGCTTGCATTCGCCCGACGTAACTTTATTATTTTTTGAATTCAAGAACGGCTGGACCGATCTTGAATTAATACCACGTATCTCTATATAAGGTGAATTCGATTGACCCAGATTAGATCGATTTGGGTTCAATTTAAGTGAACTTCTTCTGATCTAGATCATTTTATGTTGATGAGGGTGCGCTGATCCAGCTTGAATCGAACACAGTGTGGTTCACTTAAATTGACCCAGATCGATCTAATCCGGTCAATCGAATCGGCTATAGAGGAGAGTGATATAGGCTATTTTTTATCCCGAAAAAAAAAATTCGGTTGCGTAAAACTCTGATACACTGGAACGCCTATATACAGCCCGGGGCGCTTTAGAGCAGCTCTGGAGTGCTTAAAATGCGTCACTGAACTCACTGGCAAGCGACTATGATATCGGATTAAAAAAAAAAAAAAATAGAAAATCAACAACAAAATTTGAAAAAAAGTGTATTATTTCAAAATGTATTTACATGCTGGCAACGCAGCGGGTCATTAGCTAGTTCCTTTATAAAAATAGACAGAATACAGTAAATTCAGTAGGATATAAAATTATCTATGTACCACGGGAATTATCAGGTGTTAATACCCACGGGCAATTGGTGTCCCTCGGGCCTTAGGCCCGAGGGACACAAACGTTGCCCTGGGGTATTAACACCTTCATAATTCCCTTGATACATAATAGTTATTTATGTATCAAGGGTACTAAGTAGATGATTATGCCCTGAGGGCGACAGCCTTACAAAGCCGAAGGCCTCTGGCCCGAGGATTCGTAAGTCGCCTGAGGGTATATATCTATTAGTACCCGTGGTGCATACAAACTTTTATGTCATACCAGGGGGATTTTATTTGTAATCGATGCAACTTTGCGTACACGCGAACGACGTCATTTGCGGCGTAATTGTCAACTTGATGTTTAGAATGATACATTATGCCCGCGCGGGCCAGAATGTGTACTTTATGCCCGCACGGGCATAAAGTGATGAATTATATAGATGGTATCTAAGGTATAAAAAGACAATAATGTACTGATATGACATAAATAACTATTAAAGATTAGATCCCGCCCAAATAAGGCAGGCAGGTATTTCTCACCTCTGACATGGATACAGGGCTGGTACCAAAAAAAATCTATTCTGCATGATGTTCTGAAAATTTTAAGGTATCTTACAATATTTTCTCACAAAATTGCAAACAAATTGGCTCTTGACTACTATTAAGTACTGCAATGATTTGACCTCTCAATCCAAAGTATTCCAACTTTCCTAAAAGTAGATTATGTAGACTTTGTTGAATGCCTTCTCATAATCGAAATAGATCACATCTGTGGGTTGAGAATTATCATGGTTGTCTGTCCACTCTTGAAGGCATTCAAGTAAATTTGTTATTGTAGAACGCTAAAGAGAAATCTTGTGAGGGTGGTATGAGATTTTTTTCAAAGAAAAACGCTGTCAGTTCCCTAACAATCATCTTTTCCATGCATTCTAGTGAATTACATGTTAGACTAATAGTTTTCTGATCTATGTTGATTATCCTTTTTGAATAGTGGAGTCACTATCGATATTTTTCCAAGTGTTAAACAACTTCTGCATAGTCTCAGCTAGTCGATAACTAATCGATTTGCCACAATTCTGCAGTACTATCGTTGCTATTCCATCTGAACTTGGACTTTTTTTCATACTTTTTAGGACTTATTTGACTGTCTAAAACATCATTATTTGTTATAGGGTCTTTCAGAGTAATTATTGTCGTTACTTTAGAGATTAGGTTCCTGCTTATATAGGTTCATAACTGTTTCTATAGACTGTAGATACTATAGTTCTCAGCTTAAAACAGCTGCCCCAAACTTGTCCCATAATTTTCTTTTTTTGTTGATTTCTTTGAATAACTTTAGTCTCACTTAAGTTTTCAGGTTGTTCTCTGATAAAGTCATTAATTTTGCTGTAGTCTGCAATGTAGTAGTTTCTTCTCAAGACTTTATGAGTTGGCTTTGGTGGAAGTTTAAGCTGTGTTTTCGCAGTAATAATAACGTGATCGCTACGTCCAACCAGGAGCTTCTGCCTTCTGATCGCAGGTCGAACATGCTCTTTTTATCACTGCAGAGAAACAAATCCAGAAGAGAGCTTCAATTGTTCCGGAATCGTGTTGGAAAATTTATTATTCGAGATGCGCTTGATTCATGGTACATATCCATAAAATCTTCAGTTTTAAAAAAATAAGTATTCCTACTTCTTTGACAGGGACTTTTCATCACAGATAATTGTATACTTTCTCAAAAAGTCGGTTTGTTTTGGTAAGCTATATTTAACACTCATCTTCAACCACCTTATCATAAGCGTCGCAATAATAATTATTTATAAAGACATCCCAACCGAAGCATTGCCAAAGAACACATTTTTTTTTTATTTAAACTTATTATGGGCGATAATGAGTGGTCTTTGATTTGACCCAGAAACCATTGACGTCAGAAAATGTCGTCGACTTAAAAGTTGTTAATAAAATAAATGACAATTCTTAATTCTATAGAGAACATCGAAGAACCATTTAGTGTCCTTGACTGAAAACTTGATGGAGGTGAATCGATATGTAACTAATTTATATTGTCTACAAAATGTTGAGAAAAAGGTTCACGGCCGGACATTGTCATTATTAACACAATAAATCTTTCTTACTTGTCGAGCCTAATCGGATGCAATAATAATTTCGCTTCTTGTCATGATCAAATTATTTAATCAACTTTAGGATGTGCGTAGATTCGGGAAAAACAATGTAATCCGGCTGCGTAAGATCTAATTCAAGAAGTTTTTGCGACATCTTTCAACGTGTCCAATTTGCAATTTAAATGCCCATAAATACACATCTCGAGGCATGATATTCATTCATAAATTTCATTGAATCGTTTATCTCCTTTCATTATCAGCTGCCAAGCGTAAACATAGTAAATCAGCCCATATAATTATACTACGACTTACTTTTTCTCTTTCCTTATAAGTGCGTTTACCTAATATTTATTCATATAAGATGCATTTATGATTTACTTATCAATTTCATAACAAAGTCAAACTGCAAATGGAAATTCCATGAATGAGAAAATCCAACAACAAGGTCACCTTTTTATCAGAATATTTTGAAGAAAACATCCGATCTTTTCGTCTGGTAGGTACCCTAAATATTTGTTTCGGCCTTATCAAATCCAGAAATGAAAATCCATTACGCATTTTTGCATAGATTGCAGTCGAAGCGGAAATTGGTATAAAAATTATTACTAATTTATTTTCTTATTGTTGGGAGAATTAATGATGCTGCCGAAGTGATAAGAGTTTGTTTTAATTTTAATTAAACACTTTTGAAAAATTAAAGTAGATAAATAGTTAATTTTTTTTTTTAGCAAAAGTGGAAAAATTATATTTAATATTTAATCGACTCTCATGCGATTTCACTTTACCAGGGCACAAGATTGATTCAAATTTAGGGATTTGTACCAGAAACAATAATTCAATTAAAAAATTGAGTTTCACTTACCTAGGTTGAGTTGTAGTAGTTGTAAAAAATAGTATATAAAGGAGGTAACAGGATGATTCCGTTATTGCAGTAGATTTTCCAAAAAGTTTCTTCCAAGAAATCTAAAAATACAAAATAAATGTAATTAATAAAGCAAACAATAAACTTTGCATCCAACAAAAAGATGAGATTAGGTTGTCACTCACTACTTGTTGCAACAGTAAAAATGTCAAAGCGATAATTCCCTTGATCTTTAAGAATTGCATATTCTTGAAAGGTTATCAGTCTGACTAAATTATATATTTTTGTCGAAAAAGATATAATTGATATTTCTTTTGTTACAGGTGAAACTATCAGTATTATTTACAACACTCTGCCTACATGTAGCTTATAGTAGACGACTGACTGATGATATAGACAACGAAGTCAGTGCACTTCCAGCAGGTAAGATTTTTCACCATTTATAATAATAATAAAAAAACTGTCACTTGCCTGAAGGGGCTAAATGAAAATAAGATTGTTTTTATATGTGGTAATTCTGAGAAGTAAAATTAACGGCACTGGATCATTTTAATTCCCCTATAGAAAGTCACCTTATTCTTATCAGTCAATGTTCTTTACCAATCAACAATAACTTTCCTTAAAAATAAGCAAAAAAATCTACTTAAAAAGTTATTTATCTGACAATCGTTAAATTGATAAGACCAGATAAAAATCTTTTTTTTTTAATCACTCGTATGATAGTCGGTCGTCAATTTGCGCTATGACTGTTGCAGTACAGTCTGGCACTCGTTGGTACATTACTACATATATATGTCTATTAAACTTGGCGATTGTGTCCTTATGGCTGTATATTTTTACAGGGAACTTAGGGACCTTTGAGTACAAAACAACGTCTTACGTAAAGATTACTCAACCTCCAGTGCCTGTGGTGCAAAGAAATGTTGGCACTCATGTGGAGCTTCATTGCGAAGCTATGGGATCTCCACCACCAACAATCCAATGGTATAAGGGGCATATGAGAATAACTGAGGTAAGCTAAATTTTTCATAACTCAAAAACAAAATTCAACAACAAAAATTTCTATAGAATGAAAGCTTTGAAGACAACAACTACATAGTAGACAGATCTCCAGGTTTTGCCAAAGTAGCCTCTCGTCTAGTGATCAACTATGTACTACCCCGTCATCAAGACAACTATTATTGTGTAGCCGAAGCTGGATCTCAAGTTGACAGGAAAATGAGTGCTCTAGTAGTACCCAATGCACGTGGGCGGGAAATGAACTTTACTCAGCTCATTGCTAGCAAAATTCTTGGGGCTCACCATCATCCTAGAGTTACTTTTTGGGCTCCTGCCTACATGGACGTTATTGGTAAGCCATTTTAAACGCATCCAAATTAATAATTGTCCTAATAATAAATTTTGCTTCAGGATCTGATGTGATTCTTCCATGTAAATCAGTGGGCAACCCCAAACCTGAGCTCATGTGGATCGACCCTAACAACAAGCAAGTTACCAGCGATGAAAAGTTCGAAGTTATGCAAGATGGAGAGTTGAGTATCCGGTCGATATCTTGGGATGATATGGGAGTTTACACCTGCATTATTAGAAATTCTGTAGGTGAAGATTCAGTGGAAACTTTCTTGTATCCTATGCAGGTCAGTATTTTTTTTATGTAAATAAAAAAACTAATCAAACTCAAAGTCTAACTTTAATTGTTTTTATCCGAGTTTTTATCATTTCTGGGATTATTATAACATAGTTTAGTTACTTATATTTTGGATTTCAATTGAAAAAAGCACAATAAAATCTAATAATTCTTTGTTTGTTACAGGAATCATCGAAATAACGTCCAAGACAAAAACTACATTTGAGGCATCCTTAATTCCAAAAATCTAGTCACTCCATTCCAAGAAAAATTTTCCCTTCTTGGTTAAAAAAAACTTACTCCTATTATGTAAATTAGTATTTTAAATTTATCTAGGTATTAATAGGTTTATTAAATTATGTACTTATTTATAATAATTTTAACTAAGTAATTTAACAATAATAAAAAAGACTTCTCTGTATTATTTGTTGTTTTAGTTTTGTGTTTGTAGCCCAACTATGATGGTTCATTTAAGTCTCCATCTACCCTATAAATTTCATTTTGAGAAACTCACCAATAAGGGTGTTATCGCCTCAGGTCAGTCAATATTTCTTTTGAACTTCATTGACCAGTCAGAAACAACTACTCCGAGGGCAAATACCCCTACCGGCGTTGAACTACACTGATTGGTCTGAGCTTTCGTTGGCAATGAAAATTATAAACCTGAAAAAACTTCTTAACAATATTTCTTTTTTCGTATAATCTGCTTCTGTCACCCAACTCTAAAGGTGGCGTTCAGTATATACCCCTATAATAGACTCTCTATGTATCCAAAAATTTCCATTTCCGGTATTTATGAAAACCGCAATTTTATTTCATATCTGGACTTATACCAAATGAGCTGAAATTTTCAGGGATTGTATTTCTCCATGAGGATAAAATTGACTAAAAATTTCAGGTTTCTATCTTTACTAGAATTGATGAAATTTCAAATTTTTTTATGTTCTGATTTTGTATTTAAATGATCAAACCCCCAAACTCCATAGGTACAGTAAATTATTGTGAGATTTGAAGCAGAAATATATGAAAAAAAAACCTCAGGAAAATTGATAAATCCAAAAATTCCCCCCAAATTCCTTAACACGATTTTTTGTCAGGAATTATAAGTCCAAATGAGTTGAGATTTCGCAGGGTTTGTAGTCCTCTACTAGGATAAGTATCGCTGAAAAGCCGAAGAAGAAGAAAGGGTAGGGTTGCCATAAAGGTTTTTCGGAATTCAGGATAAAGAAGTCAAGAAATCCGGAGAAAATCCGGACTTCGCAGAAGTAGCTATTTATGCAACAAGTGTACGTGTGAAGTGAACCTTTTCTCACGAATGTGAATTCTGACGCACGAGCCGAAGGCGAGTGCGACAATCACATGAGTGCAAAAAGGTTCACTCTACACACGTATTGCGTGTAAAAAAAATTCTACTATCAATAAAATAGGTGTAAAAAAATAAATTTAGTCGAATACTTTACGCACTAGTGCGTGAAGTGAAATAATTTACTACAAAAAAATGACAGTGTCGACATCTGTCATTGACATTTTCTACTTCACGCACTAGTGTGTAAAGTAAATTACTTCACGTACAAGTGCGTGAAGTGAAATTCTACGTCTTTTGAAAAGGGCGTAAAGTGAGTACTTTACGCAAGGTAGTAGAAATAGTTATATATGCAACAAGTGTGTAAAGTGAACCTTTTTTCACGAATGTGAATTTTGACGACAATCACATGAGTGAAAAAAGGTGCTTTACGCACGTATTGCATACAAAATTTTTTCTACTACCAATCAAATAAGTGTAAAAAAATAAATTTAGACAAATTCTTCACGCACTAGTGCGTAAAGTATTCTCACTTTGCGCACTAGTGCGTGAAGAAATTTACCAGAAAAATAGTAATTTGACAGTTCTGACATCTGTCATTGACATTACTTTACGCACTAGTGTGTGAAGTGAATGACTTTACGCACTAGTGTGAAAGAGAAATTTTACGTCTTCTGAATGGTGCGTAAAGTGAGTACTTTACGCACGGTAGTAGAAAAAAATAGTTTAAAATTTTTATTAAGGATGAACTTTGTTTATTTTTTTCAAAAATACATTTTTACAGAAATTAATAAATAACCGTAACGATTAATATTTAATAAAGTTATTGTTTTCACGACCTCCGAGTTTTCCAAACATTGTTCCGAATTCCGGCCGGACTTCCCCGGACACCCTAAAAACCAAAACATGTCCGGGTTAAGCCTAGTACCTACTCATAACTGCGAAATTCGCATTTTTTTGACATTGCTCCGACAATTTGAAGTTTGATACACGCATAAAACGTCAAATTATCAACGCAATGTCAAAAAAATGCGAATTTCGCAGTTATGAGTACTAGGCTTTAATCCGGACGTATGGAAACCCTAAGAAGGGGGGAGTCTTTCTACCAAAATGGTCAAATTTCAAACTTTTTTTTTTTGAAGATTTCGACTCTAGAAAATCATTTGGGACGCCAGAAATTCCATAGGTACAGTGATTTATTGTGGTATTTGAAGCCGTAGATCTTTAAAAAAAGGAACTCAGGAAAATTGAAAAATCCAAAAGTTCACCCCAAATTCCTTGATGCGATTTTTTATGTATGTCCAAATGAGCTGAAATTATGCCCGCGTCGCCATCTTGAATTATCAGCTAATTCGAATCAAGGATGATACACACCTACAGGATTGCTTATCGGCCTCTTTCGTTTTTCGTAATCGCCGCTATAATGGTGTGTCACCATTTCCGACGTCATAACTAAGTCGTCAGCTGTTTAAACAGCCTACATCAGGGCGAGAAATAACATGCTGCTACGTCACAACTGGCGATTTGTCGGGGGGGGGGGGGGGAGATGGGGGATTTATTCCACACAGGCCTCATGAGGATAGGCTATCCTGTAGTAGTAGTGTGTATCATCCTTGGATTCGAATTATTGCCTAATGGCTAAGAATTTCAGTCATAAGAATTGGGAGATTTGAGGAATTCAATATGGCGGTGTCGGGTTATGCCCACGTCGCATTCTTGAATTATCAGTCGATTCGAATTGCCTAATGGCTGAGAATGTCAGGGATGAGAATAGGGCAAATTGACGTTCTCTCAATTCAATATGGCGGCGTGGGAATAACACACCAGCCACACAAAAGCACTTTCACATTCAATTCCTATTCAAATTGCAGTCAATTGAAATAATTAAATGTTCACATTCGTCAAGTTTGCTATGCCCACGTCGCCATCTTGAATTATCAGCTGATTCAAACTGCCTAATGACTGAGAATTTCAGGGATAAGAATAAGGCGATTTGACGCAAGGAGAATAAACACTCTAAGGAGTGCTTATCGGCCTCGTTTTTGGTAATCGCCGCCATATTGGGTTTCAACTGTTTTCAACCATTGCCGACGTCATAACTAAGTCGTCAGCTGTTTGAACAGCCTACGTCAAGGCGAGAAACGCCATGTTGTTTACGTCACAACTGGTTGTTTGGCTAGGGAGGGTAGGGGGGATTTGTTACACACAGGCCTTATGAGGATAGGCCATCCTGTAGTAGTGTGTATGATCCTTGGATTTGACGTTCTCTCAATTCAATATGGCGGTGTGGGAATAACCAATGAACTATAAACTACACGTATCTGGAATGGCACCGACCGTTGTCGGATATGGCATTTGTCTCTATCTTAGAGCGTCCAAAGATAGCTATATAGTGGGGGATACCTTTCCCTCTCTAGTTCATTGCTGTTAGGTTTGGACGGTTTGGTATATTCCTAACCTCAAATATGATATGTTATAGACAAGGAGAGATTTCCATAATTCGCCAATAAGATAAATAGAGATAGGCGGTATCCCCCACATTCTCCATCTTAGTTTGCCGCAATTTTATAGATCGGCGGGCCATTCCTGGTACGTGTAGTTTATAATATGTAGTTCAGAGAATAACACACTTGACATGCACTTGACAACCGTAAAGGCACGTTTACATTCAATTCCCATTCCAATTGCGATTCATCGAAAACAGGGTTTATGTGAAAATATGGACATTTCCACCCTAGTCTCGGGCACAAACAGTACTGAAAATTATAGGAAGTACCAAAATACATCGTTTAGGAAACCTCACTTGACTTGCAAATTACTTTAAGGGTGGTTTAAGCGGGTAAAACTAATAATTGCGATTCATCGAAAAAAGCGTTTTTGTGAAAATATGGACACTTTCACCCTAGTCTCGGGCACAAACAATAGTGCAAATTATAGGCAGTACCAAAATACATCGTTTGGGGAACCTCACTTGACTTGCAAATTACTTTGCGGGTGGCTTAAGGCCCTTCACTGTCGTCAACTCGTCAAGTTTGTTATGCCCACGTCGCCATTGAATCAACAGCTGATTCGAATTGCCTAATGGCTGAGAATGTCAGGAATAAGAATAGGGCGATTTGACGTTCTCTCAATTCAATATGACGGTGTGGGAATAACACACCTGACAACCGTCAAAGCACTTTTAGATTCAAATTGCATTCAATTGGAATTGAATGTATAGGCACCTTCATGGTCGTTAAGTTTGTTATGCCTACGTCGCCATTGAATTATCAGTTGATTCGATTTGTCTAATGGCTGAGAATGTCAGGCATAAGAATAGGGCTATTTGACGTTCTCTCAATTCGATATGGCGGTGTGGAAATAACACACCTGACAACCATCAGAGCACTTTTACATTCAATTCCCATTCAAATTGCAATCAATCGGAATTGAATGTAAAGGCACCTTCACGTTCGTCAAGTCTGTTGTGCCCACGTCGCCATCTTGAGTTATCAGTCGATTCGAATTGGCTAAGGCTGAAGACCAATGACAAATATAAGGTATAAGTGTCAAGATACAAAATACCAAAAATTCGAAATTTTAGATTTCAAGCGTTTGACCGGTCGATTACACTCGACAGATAAACAATGAAGTAAACGTCATTTGTTAACCAATTGGTCTTGAATGACGTAAAATGCGTTGCTCATCTGTCAATGGTACCGACTGGTCAATCGCTCAAAAACTTCCTTTGTATTGTGATGACGTAGCAAGTAAATTGTATCCCGAGTTGTATCTTGTAATCCATTTATTTTGGATTACAGTATTGATACACCTGTTATTATATTATTTTTGTCTCTTGTCACTTGTATCTTGTATCGGGTCTTCAAAAAAAAAACAATCAAAGATTGCTATGGTTTTTTTAAATGTATGTCTTAGCAATATTATCCTTTAATTTTGTCAATGAACTTTAATGTCAAAACGTCACATCAAAAATCCTGACCAATAATGGAACAATAATGCGACGTACGTTTTCGTAACCAAAGCAATCTTTGATTGGTTTTTTTTTGAAGACCCGATATCTTCAGTCTAATGGCTGAAAATTTCGGCTTTCTATCTATCCTAGAAAACAACTTATGATTGTTCAAAGTTTTCAAAAATCTAAATCATATAAGGTTGTGAAATCTTCTAAAAAAGGACTTCAGGAAATTAAAAAAGTCAAAAAACTGCTGCGAAAACGCAGGCTCGGAAAGTGACGTCACTTTCCGAAAAATGCGAGAGTGCCGAATTTTTCAATTAAACAACACCCTACCTAGAAACTAGTCCTTCACTACGTTATAAAAAAATAAAGGATAGGTATAATCGTTGAACCTATTCAAATTTCGCAGTTTCAAATGTGAAAAACAAACGTGTTAATATAATTGCGAATTGTGAATAACGATCCTATTGGTTGAATTGGCTTCCCGCTGCTCGACATATTTAAAATCAACCAATAGGATCATTATTCTTCCATCTTCTTTTCGTAAGTAAGTAGGTACAGTCGGAATCATTGCAATTGGGACACACTATATAAATATCCCTCGTAATGTGTCAAATCTGACACACAGTAATAGCAAAATGCTGCACTAAATAGATTTATTGGTTAGAATTTTGACTTAATACGAGGGATTTTAAAGAGTGTGTGCCAATTGCAATGATTTCCACTGTATTTTGTATTTATGATTTATGAACTAAACCTTAGCCAATGAGTAGCGTTTTCAGGTACGCAGGCACGTGTTTTTGTTTAAATTTGGTATTTTTATTTATTAATTTATGTGCATCAAAAAATATCATATTTTTGGTAATGGTCAGAATTATTGACACATGACATTCTGGTAAATTATAAGAAAAAAAATAGACATTGACAACATTGTCTGTCCTTATTGGATGACGTCATCCTAAATATAACATAAAAAACCTATAGCTTCGTTTTCACGTTATGAAGAAACTTTAGTACCTAATCTTTCATGAACAGTTAGAAAAAAAAAAAAAAAAAAAAATCTTCACAAACGGCCAAAAAACATGAAATTATGGAACTCAAGTGCTACCTAATGGAGTAGGCATGGACCCAAAGTTGTTTGAGAGAGGTAGGTTGCCGGTTGCACGATAACTTTTATGACGACATTTGGGATGCTTCAACATAATGTAAATCTCCACAAATCCATAAAACACAACACCCCAGACAGGGTTGCCAGATTTCAATTTTGAAAAATCGGAACAGCGGATCAAAAAAGAGTCGTCTAAAAAAAAAACAATACAAGTATTACTACTCATCTGCATATTTTTCATATGAAAAAAATTTTGACAACAGCTTTGTTCCAATACTTCAAGAAACCGTACCTACCGTCACGATTCTGCGCAAAGCCAAAAATTTATGCGTAGAACCCAAAATTCGTATACAGAGTGGTTTCAAACCCGTTCGTGGGACGGTTATTGACGTATTGGAACAAACCTTATATTAAGTATAACCGAATTTTCGCGACGAATTACTTCCATGCCATGATTTCATGAACACAAACGCTTTCGCGAAAAGTTCATGACGTCATATTGAAAGTAGTTCGCTGGAAGCATGGACGCAGCTTCTAGCCAGCGTTCAAACTCATGACGTCACAAGACGAACTATTGATGAACGATAACCGAATTTTCGCGACGAACTACTTCCATGATTTCACAGACGCTTTCGCGAGAAACTTATGACGTCATATTGAACGTAGTTCGCCGAAAGCATGGGCGCAGCTTCTAGTCAAAGTTCAAACGTTCAAACTCATGACGTCACAAGACGAACTATGGTTCGTCCTTGGGTCCTTGGATGAACTATTCACATTCGTCGCGAAAATTCGGTTTATATGTCATTGCCCTTGGAACTTTTTGAATACAATAGGTCTGTTCCGACACGTCAAAAACCGTCCCATGAACGTTTTAGAAACCACTGGATCTGTGCCACTGTGTATACGAATTTCGGATTCTAGGCACAAATTTCAGGCTTTGCACAAAATCGTGTTGGTACATTCACATTGTATTGTACGTTTCGCGTTCCCGGCTGTGTTGGAACAACAGGGCTGCCAACTGTATTTTTTGTAGAGCTCACAAAATATATTTCTGATTACTCACAATACAATTTCACTACTAGAAGCCGAACCAAACTAACCTAAACTTTGTGTACTTTATTATTGTTCTGAATTTTTCAAAAAAAATTAAAATACTTCGTTTCGTTTATTCGTTTTAAATCGTTTTCATGAACGCATACATTCATGTATGACGTCATAGCTAGTAGGGTTTACGTTTACACTTTTCAGGCAGTGATCAAGGTTGTTTGAGAGAGGTAGGTTGCCTCAAGGATGATACACTCTACTACTATAGGATGGCCTATCCTCATAAGGCCTGTGTGGAATGAATCCCCCCACTCCCCCCGCCAAATCACCAGTTGTGACGTAGCAGCATTTTATTTCTCGCCTTGATGTAGGCTGTTTAAACAGCTGACGACTTAGGTATGACGTCGGAAATGGTGACACACCAATATGGCAGCGACTGTAGGTGTTTATCATCCTTGGGTTGCCTGGAGCCGTATTCTTGAATTTCTGGGAGGAGAACTTGCTCGGGAAGAGGACGTGGTTCACCTCAAAAAGGTACATGTCATATTCTTGAAAATAGGACTGTGAAGTGAAAGCTCCCGGGAATTCCTAAGTTCCCATCCTCTCACCCAAGAGAAAACGAGTTCCCACCAGGGCTTCTAACCTCAAAACTTGACGTTGTTTTCAAACTTGACGGTTTTTTGGTTTTCTCCTTTCAAGTTCAAGGTTTTTTCGTTTTTGTATGTGTTGTGTCCTTTCATTACAATAAATGTGGATTATTTTAATGAGATTATCTTGAATAACATAACATAATCCAAGAAGACATGGAAAATGCTCCAGAAGCAAGAGAAATAGGATGAAATTTTCTGCCTCAAAGAATTCCTTTTCCCTTGACCAGAAATTCGTGAAATTTTTTAGAGTACCTAAGCAAAAATGTATGCCACGGAATAGTAGATATGGTTATTCCGTATGTTACCGCTTCAACGCGAGTCTCGGCTTTAACCAAAACTACAAAGGTATGCATTGAACACAGTATTACAGTATTCCAGAAGTTGATAAGCCACACGAAGTTCAGAGACAGGAAAACGGAATTTATGCTGCGGAAAATTATGCGGAATATTTCCCGCATGTATAAAAAATGCCATAAGAGGAATGCAATTATCGAAAACTTACAGCGATGATGTTCATGTTCATAGGGTAGTTGAAAATAAATAAATTATCAAACCTAAATGCCTTTCAGCTTTCAAAGTTTGGAAAAATAGACAATAATAAACATCAAACGTGGGGTTAGATTACTTCCTCTTCGTTTTTTTCGCTTGAAAACACGTTTTGGTTTGTTCGATTGACACTCGCATATGCGGCAACATTGCGAGGGCTTGTGGGTATTCAAGAATACGACTTCTTAGCTCCCGGGAGCGAAAGTGAACTAGCATTCCTGGGAACGTTCCCGGGAACACTCCCTTCCCGGACAGTCAAGAATACGGGGCCTGATAACTTTATAACGTCATCTGGGGTGCCTCAACATATTGCAAATCTCCATAAGGCACCCCAGATGCGTTATCAAAAGTCTGTTTCCACAGAAATCACAAACCAAAGTTACATATTACTACAGTGGCTAAATAAACCTTTACATACAGTGGCGACAATAGAGGTCCCGCCGCCATCTTGTTCCCAACCTCTTGTTACTTTTAAATATTTATATATAAGATTTAAATGGACATCTATCATAAAAAATTGAAATCGACGTATTTGATGACCAGTATTAGGTCCATCAAATACTTTGTTTTCCATGATTTATGATGAATGTTTAACTAAATCCCATATATTCATATTTCAAAGTAACAAGGGGTTGGGAACAAGATGGCGGTGTTTTCAATATAAATATATGCGATTTTAGAACCAATCAAAAATGAGACAGCAATTGTCGCCACTGTGGGTTATAGAGTCACTGTACCTATTACTAGACAACTTTAGGAACCTTGAGCAGGCAACCAACAAATCCAACAAGAGACAAAGAAAAATACTGATGCTATGATGAAGAGGATTTTAAACAAACTTCAATTATATATTATGGTCTAGAAAGAAAAAGAACATCGTTTTATAGTCGGCACTTGTCGTTGTCAACTGTCAACCGAACTAAAATGTTTGAAGGTAGGCAACCCACAATCTCAATCGGGCGCGAGTCGGGACGTCTGACAAACAACCCTGACTCCTGACCCCAGATGCGTCATCAAGTTACCCATTTACCAGACTTTTAACTTTAGGATTAGGAACCTTGGCATGGACCCATGGACATAGGACATTGTAACAGGAACAAGGAACAGGATCCAGGAAATAGGTTGATATGTAGCGTTTTCCTAGAGGACTGGTTAAATGTCAATTATGTAAATTTAAGAGGCAAATACTTACCATCTAGATCTAGAATCCGACCAAAACGTGCAATAATTCACTCAAAACACACTAGCGTCTGCGGCACGTGATGGGAAAAAGCGACTTGTCAGTGCAGAGCTTGAAGAGAAAAAAAATTAATTTCTAAAAAATAACACGAAATATCCTTGACCGTTTCTCACGAATAATCGCACAAAAAGATAAGATAAAATCACGTTTCAGTAGTAGCTCTAGCTGGCGAAGGTCGAGACGAGAAGAGTTGCCTAGGGTAAGGAAGTGGTAGGAGTACCAAGCTGCTAGAAGTGGAGGGAGGAATTAATTGTTTTGTTGACCCGACTTTTCTATGCGATAAAAAAAGATAAATATAGTTTTGTACCGACGCCAATTCTCTATCTGTTTGCACAGAAATCACAAACCTGTCAGAGTGAGTTTCATTGGTTGAAACTAGTTTTCTGACTTTTTTCAACCACAAAGCCCAGAGCGTTCATAAAAGCATGCCGCAGAAGAGTGCGAAAAAACACAGTCATGCTCATATTCCTTAGTTAATTAACATCGTGTTTAGGTATCTAGAATCTACAGATGGGTTTCATATAATTTCCCAATCCCAACCCAACACGAGAAAAACCGTCCCTGGCACTAAAAAACAGGTAAAAATTAAACAAATTTTTTAGTGAGGTTTATGATTTTATTATACATTTCCTACCAATAGTATCAAAGTGTATTTCAAGGGTATCTACCCTGTGTGTTCATACATAAATTAATTTAACAAGGCCCGGTTTATTCATCTCCAGATAAACTTGCTGGTAACTATCTGCAAGATAAATCTACCGATTTATAATCAATCCTATTGGTCAGCGGATAACTGACCGACCAATGGAATTACAGAGATTGGGTTTTTATCATAAACAAAAATATTTATTTAAGTATTTATTCGTTTACAAATTCATGATTTATTGGTCTATTTGTCATTTACTTGATGTTTTCATAAAGAACCCCTTAATACTGTTGGCCCAACCTCAACCCCCTTTTTCAAAGATTCAATTTTATACCTATCACCTACCTAAATAGGTATGATTAAATTATATTCAGGGTGCTTAAGCTCACAGCAGGTAGTAGTTAATACCACCTTGGTACTACCACTTATAATTTTTTCTGGCTTCTGTATTTTTGGATTGCGGCTAGTCAACTATATAAAATCTAGCAGTCCCTGTCTGTCTAAAGACATTAAAAAAATGAAAAAGGGTAGGTACCTTTGCACCTCATTGATGGAAATCCAGTGTATAGTTCAATCAAAGGGTATTTTAAAGTGGAAAGTGGAGTATGGACCCCGGGTTTTTGAAAATTTCTATTGGGTTTTTGGGCTGTGCGAGTTATTCTGTTTTGGTAGGGCTCTTGTGTTTACTTAGCTAGATGAAATTGTATATTTGTTTCAACAGTTTTGCACCTGATAATCTTCAAAATTGAATTTATCAAACATTGAAAATTTTTCAAAAATGACTCTAACACAGTTTTTGCCTCACAGCTCCTTTAATTTTCATCCGATGTCAAGGTAATTAAGCTGTAATTGATGTCAATTGAATTCTCTACAATCTTATTAATTAAAATTTGAGTTTAGTTCCAATAGTGTTGCAGCTGAAAATCTTCAAAATTTAATTCATCAAACTGAAAATTTTCCAAAAACGACACTAAGACAGTTTTTGCCTCACGACTCTGTTAATCTTCATCCGATTTCAGTGTAATGAAGCTCCTATAAAAAACCAATTAAAATCTCTACAAACCTATTACTTAATTAAGATTTTAATTTAGCTCCAACAGTTTTGCAGCCAAGAAGCTTCAAAATTGAAATTATGGAACATTGAAACTTTGCCAAAAATTACATTGAGACAGTTTTTGCCTCACAGCTTCTCTAATTTCCATCCTATTTCAATGTTATTAAGCTCTAATTAAAGCCAATCAAATTCTCTACAAACCTTTTTATTGAGATTTTAATTTAGTTACAACAGTTTTGCAGTTAAGAAGCTTCAAAATTGCATTTATGAACATCTAAAATTTTCCAAAAATGACACTGAGACAGCTTTTGCCTCACAGTCCTTTAATTTTCATCCGATTTCAATGTTATTAAGTTCTAGTTAAAGTCAATTAAATTCTCTACAAAACTATTAATTAGGATTTTGATTTAGTTCCAACAGTTTTGTAGTTGAGAGGCTTCAAAATTGAAATCATAAAACATTGAAAATTTTCCAAAAATGACACTGAGACGGTTTTCGCCTCACAACCGCGTTAATTTCCATCTAATTTCAGTGTAATTAAGCTCTAATCGAAGCCAATTGAATTCTATAGAAGCCTATTAATTAAGATTTCAATTTGGTTTCAACAGTTTTTCACCTGAGGAGCTTCAAAATTGAAATAATTGAACATTGAAAATTTTCCAAAAATGGCACTGTGACAGTTTTTGGCTCACAGCTCCTTCAATTTCCGTCCGATTTCAGTGTAATTAAGCCAATTAAATTCTCTAGAAATCTATTATAAAAAACATTACTTACTTATTAAAATTTCCTTAATCCTATTTTTAAAATTTTTATAATCCAAGATTTTTATGTTATCAAGTAACACATTAACAAATTTTATTGCCCAGTAACCAGGTCCAGTGTGATACCTCTTTAACCTCCAATAGGCAGGAACAATGTTATCTTTATGTCTAGTATTGTAGTCATGCTTGTCTTTGTGGCACTCAAAGGAATCCAGTCTTTGTTTGATATAAAAAAGATTTTCGAGAATGTACCGAGATGGCAAAGTTAGAATTCCAAGTGTCTTAAAAGTATGTTTACAGTTATCTCTGAAACGAAGTCCAGCTAAGATTCTTACTGCCCTCCGCTTTAGACTGAAGGCTCGACTGGTGTCAGCAGCATGGCCCCACACAAGAGTTGCATAAGAAAGATGCGAGTGAAAGATAGCAAAGTATGGCTATTCGCATTATGTCTTGAGTGACACAGTTTTTGAGGTTTCGTAGAACGAAGATGCCTCTACTTAACTTACTGCATAGCTCATTGAAGTGAGGTCCCCACTGCAGTTTTGGAACGAGCTGAACTCCCAGAAACCAGAAACCCAACACTGCCTGTCCCCTGATTTATGTCTCCATTATTTCTCATTGAGAATACAATTTGTTGTGTTTTTCCAGTATTTAGCAGCAGTCTATTCATCCTAAACCACTCCTCGGCTCCTTCCCGTGCCTCCCTGGAGACTTCCATAGCCCCATCAAGAGTCTCCGCAGAGAAAGACACTGTTGTATCTTCAGCGAATAGTGTGTACTTGGCTTTGTTGTCACTGGCTGGTAGATCATTAATATACACCAGAAACAGTATTGGATCCAGCACAGACCCCTGTGGGACACCGATGTTCATCACTCGTTCTGATGAGTCCACCCCAGAGATTCACGCCACCTGTACTCTGTCTGAAAGATAGGATTGTATTAAGTTGATACTTTCTGGGCAGAAGTTATAGTTTTTGAAATTTTGCAAGAGGATGCCGTGGTCGACACAGTCAAAGGCCTTGCTGAGGTCCCACAGCAAGACCGAGGTGAATTCAAGATTATGAAAAGAATCTATTATATATGAGACTAGGTCCAGGATGGGCAGCACTGTATTCTTGCCTTCTCTGAAGCCAAATTGGCTGTTGGAAAAATAGTTATTATTTTCAAAGAAATCAACTATTTATAGAGACATATTTACATCTTTCAACTACCTTTGAAATTATTGGTAGTAGTGAAATTGGTCTATAGTTTTCAGGTAGTTGAGAGTTACCTTTTCTAAAACTGGGGGTTACAACAGCTCTTTTAAGAACTTGAGGGAATGTATTTTCTTGAAAGCATAGGTTTATCAGATTAGTAAGAGGGCTTATTATAATATTTTTTACAGATTTAATAAGTTTTACATTTAGTCCATATAGGTCACGGCTATTTTTATTTTTCAAGTTACTGATGACGTCTCTAACTTGGTTGAAAGTTACTGGAGAAAAAGAAAAGTTATTTCCTCGGTTATTTCCTGTGGTGGTCAACTTCATATCAGGAAGACGTAAGTTGATTGGTGGAATATCTTTTACTAGATTATTTGCAATTTCTGCAAAATACTGATTAAAGTTATCAGAAGAGATTGTATGATTTTCAGAACTTTTCTTAATTTTTGTAATACCCCGTTTGCAATTTATAATCTTCCAGACAGCACGCGACGGATTACTAGATGTCTGAATGTAATTATTGTTAGACTGAAGCTTTGCTGTCCTTATTTCACCTTTGTACCTTCTTCTAAGTTCTATACCTATACATTTGAGAAATTTCTTCACTTTGATATTGTTTACTGAGGTCATGTAAAAAACACAACTGTTCACGCATTGTTTTCAATTCTTCATTAATTGTGGGTTATTTGGTTTAGCTTTATAGATTTTTTCTGGAAGAGTCCAAGTAAGCTTTCTCAAGTATATTCCTGATGAAGTCAGCGAATTTATCATCAACATTCATATTCACAAAATCCCAATCCGCCTCACTTATTTTATTGTGAAACTGGAATGTACTCCTTTGTGTTATAGGTCTAGACATTGTTATGTTTTCCATGTAAGACTGTCTTTTTGTTTCTGCTATGAAATCAACCCTACACTTGAATCCGTATTTTCTTTTTTGGTTTCTTTATTTATTTTTTTGCTCTCTTTTTATTTGCTCCTTGCTTCCTTAGTCGTTTTTCACTGGAGATGAAAGTAGGAGTTTTAATTTTTCACCCTGTATTCTCATCAAACGATCACTTGAGATGCTACCTTTTTGTCCTCGAATATTGAATAACACGGAAAGTGTAGACTTTCTTAGATTTTTGATGAGGCCATAGATCTTATTCTCAAAAATGATTAAGAGAAACCCTTTTCATGATTTGGGTAAATTTTTATGGTCAGATCGTTCACTTCTTCTACATATTCGTCTTCATCAAGGTCTATCTCGGTTTCCAGCGCCTCGCTGACTGTAGTTTCCGCAAATTCTATGGTTTAATCATATCCCAGCTTCTCACCTTCTAATGTGTTGATTGATATATACTCAAAACAATCAATAGTATGCCTTATTGAAAAATTCAAAAAATTATTATTTGATATGAAACATGAAAGCGACCAATCAAGCCTTATTATGACTTGATTCGGCTCAAAAAGCACA